ACAAAGGATAACACATTCCGCCAATCCTCAATGTGATGAGCCATGAGTTCTTTTTCAGACAGAATCGTAGCGCCACTTGAATGGATAATTTGAGCTCCACATTTTGAGGCTAGTTGTTGTACAATGCCGTAACTTCATCCTCGCAGAACAATCTATTACCGAACACGGCTAAATATTTGATCGGCCTGATCAAGAATACATCCAGGATTTGGTTATCGAATCATCGAGTGATAAGCGCCACCTGCTTCTACGCACCTCCGTTCGAATGATGAAGCTCATCCACCTAGTTACTATGTCTGGCTTTTTTGAGTTGTTCCTGGCGCCAACTTCAAGGTTAGGTAGCTTATTGGTGCGGCTTGAAGGCACGCTCCGCGATTGGGCGCGCTCACCTGTTCCATCCCGGGGTAGTAGACAGGCGGACAAGCGTTGATGTCGCGCCCCTTTTGCGGCTTGAAAGTGCGCGACAAAGGCCCTAGAAGCTCGTCCGCCTTCCAATGTCAGTTGCCACGTGACGCTGCTTGAAAAGCGCGGGCGCATTTGAGGCAGCGGTCCCATTGCGACCCAATGTCATTGGCACTGGAGCAACTAGAGTTAGGTTCGTGAAACTCGTCCAACACGCCCCTTCTCTATCCCAAGGTGGAATGCGGCTGAAATAGGGAGGTCTCTGTGCGGGGCGTAATCGGTGGTTTCGTTTGCTTTCTTTTCTTTTCCAGACCACCTCCCACCTCTAGCTTCATAACTGAACGCTTTTCCACACCAATTTTATCCCTAAAGCTTGCCTCCGAGGATAATTCGTTTCCTCGAACAGGAAAACGTGACAGGGTTAGCCCGACATCACCATTATATTCCCAGCATCTTTGGGAGAATGCCGTTGTTCAAGCATGTCCATCCCCGCCTCCTCTAATCACATTCTCTGTTTCAAGAGCGGATATCTAGCATGTCCGCAGGAGAAATTAGAGAAATGGCTGCGCTTCAGGATCCCGCGGATAGCGAAAGCGGACCAGATTCTTGGAATGTAGATCGTTGTGGTAAGCCCGCTGACGACCCAAAGCAGCATCTAGCCGTTGACTTTCGTGTAGGAGGAATTTGACTAGAAGACGTCTATTAGGCTGAGACTGTGCGTGAAACAAAATTGCCCTGATTCAATAGGTCAGAATCTTTTCCGAGACCCGCGTGGAAGAATGTCAGCTTATCCTTTCTGACCAGTTTTCAACAAAGACGTATTTCTAGGGGTTACTGATGGTAATCCTCATGTACAGGGGGGG